CAGGTGTGCAGCCAAGCGCCAGAGGTCTAAAGATAACCAAGGCTTTGCTTCAAAGCGCTGACCTCCGAGAGGTAAACAGTCGATGACAATACAGCTTCCCCAAGTCAAATTATTTTTCCCTGGTCTACCTTTCTCCACGCCTACATCAAGGATTTTAACAGATTTTTGTACATTATTGGAATCACATTATTAAGGACCAACATAAGAGGTTCTCGATTCAGTTTCTGGGCAAGTTGACCAAGAGAATGGTGTACGCTTCCCACAGGGCTTTCATATGGCCCCCGAGCAGCATCTGACACAGCTGACCGGGGACCCCCTCCCCGTCCAGGCCCCCGGCTTCCTCACAGCTCCCTCGCCTCCCTTCGCCCTCACTCCTGCTCCTCTCCAGCCTCATCTGCAGGTCCCTTCCCAACGCTGTCACCCCAAGGCTCAGACCCTGGCCCTATTCCCCACCATTCGGCATCATCTGACCGCCGCCTTGTTTTCTTTTCCATAGCACTTAACACTTTCTAACATACCGTGAAATCCATGAGTTTATCATGTCCGTTCTATAGTGTTACCTCCACCCAACCCCATGTCCGTCTGGAACATCCATTCTACAAAACAAAGCCTTTTCTCTCTCTTGTTCACTGACGTATCTCAAAGACCTAGAGCGGCCTCTGGCGCATAGTACGGTATACTCAATAAGGAGGGTATTAATGAATAGGTGATTTTTAAACTCTTTGAATTATAAAAAATGCCAGGCATACACAAAAGTGGACCGTAGTTCAATAAATTCCTAAGAACCATCACCCAGGTCAACAATTATCACCACACGGCCCACCTCTGGTCATCTGGCATCACCCACACCCCTCCCACCACTGGGTCATATGGAACCGAATTTACACCTCATGTCAACTCCTCAGCAAATAAGTTTACTTTTCAATGAATGAATGAATTCCTCGTCACCTCTCTTTGGTGTAGACTATGAGATATCAAAGAAACACAGAAGTAAACTTCTCAAGGTCCAAATTGAGGTTTCTTGGCAAAAGGCGTGGAGAAAATCGTGACGCCCTCCACTTTTAAGAAAATGTCACAGTGTTCTCTGGGAGGGCCCTGAAATGTATAAAGGCATTTGCGCCCCCCCCCTTCCCCCGTAAACAGAGCATTCCCGCTCCAGAGGTGCAACANCTGCCCCCCCGTAAACAGAGCATTCCCGCTCCAGAGGTGCAACATGGGGATTTATNTTGCGCCCCCCCCCTTCCCCCGTAAACAGAGCATTCCCGCTCCAGAGGTGCAACATGGGGATTTATCGGCAGATTTCTGCAAATCATAGGAGGATCTATTCTCAAATAGATCATTCAAACAATAGAACAGGGACACCAGGCACCCAGGCAGGGATTTTAATCAATCGCATTTCCCCATAGCAGCCCTTAGAAACCAAGCAGTGTTTATCTGGGTGGAGAGGGATTTTCATTTCCACCAATAGCTAAGCATTTTTTAATTCCATTTTAACCAATGTAACCAATGAGAACTTTATAATGATTTTTTTAACCTCTTCTTGATAAAAAGTATTTAGCACATGAACTATTTGTATTAGACAATTCTCAAAGTGCAGGGAAGCCGCTCCCAGCCCACCACCTTTAAAGAAAATACACAATAATTAGAAAGATTGGCACTGGAGCCAAGATGCCCCAATAACAACAAACAAACAAAAAATCCAGGCTTTTCCCTTCATTACTCTTACCTCTTTCTGTGTCAGTTTCTTCGTGCGCGGTACAAGGACCAAAGCTGTGTCTCTCCCCTGCGTTTGGGGAGAAAGAAATGGGTTTCTCCCAGAGGGCATACAGAAGTAGCCGGGCATCGGTTCAGGGCGCCCCGCCTGGACTGGGCGGCGCTGGCTCCGGGCCCGCTGCTGTTCAGGCCCGTCCTCGCCTCGGGCCTGGAGGGGGCGCGGCCCCTGGACGGCGGACTCCGGCCCGCAGACCAGAGCTCCGGGCGCCTGCACCCC